GTTGTATGTTACAACTTGTAACTATTTATCTAGATAAGTTCGAACACTCATTATATATAACACCGTTTATTTTTTTAAATATCTATACTTTATTAAGAGTTTTTGAAAATGTTAATATTTTTGCTTGAAACGCTTGTATTTAAATTAAAAGTTAAGATTGTAATATTTTTTTATTTATTTCCGACATTGTAAAAATAATGACACAAAATCGGCGTTATACCAGTATTGCATCTGTATAACTCATAATAATAATTACTATACAATCAAAATATTACAAATTACAAATTCAAATTACACACACATTATTGTTATTAAAAAATTTATTTGTTATACAAAAAAATGAAGAATAAAAATTATAACATTCAAAAAATATTTGGACTAATGATTAATGAGAAATTATATTTTTCAGTTTTGAAAATAAACTCTACCAATGTCACTAATATTTTATTTTCCAACTGATACCACTAGAGACATACTCAATTTTTTTTTTATACGATGGTATGTAAATCATTTTACTTGCATTATAAAATAAAAAAATTTAATACACTGGCTATAAAAAAACAGTTACGGGAAAGGATATGACATTCGCATACTTCTCTTTAAGTACATCACGTTATAGCTGTTGTAACGTATTTGATACCACCGGTGTGGCTTTTGTTTGATAAATTGTTAATATAAAAATATTCCAGAATAAACGTAACCCCCTGAGTATTCATAAAATATTTAAAACATCACTCGAATTACTTTTACAGCTTAAATTATGTAATAAAATCATATTCGAATTTAGAATAGGTACACTTTAAAAATAAACTTTTTATGTATTAAAGAAATATTCATGATTTCTAATGAAGATAGATTTATCTTAATTATATTGTAAGTTAAATGTTTAAGTTGATGATCAATATAAGTTAGATGTAAATGTAAGCTATAAATATAGGCAATAATTCGAATTTTATATTTTCAATTTGTATTCAGAATACAATAATGATGCATTTAAAATATTTTGAATTTAATTAAATTTTAAAATAAAAATATTCTAACTGTTATAGAGTACTTACTTAATACTGTAAAATTTCGTGCACATGATACACGTGCAGACCACGTTGTAAAAAATATGTCTAGTGTTTATATATTTCCTGTCACATTGGATTATGTAGTATAATTTATTATTATTTAATTTTAATCAATGATGTTGGGGGTAATATACTAATATCAAAATATCTAATTTTGTATTACTTTATATACTATTTCAATTTGTTATTTGAATGATTACGAAGAATATTATTACACAAAGTTACAATGCTATAATCGTCGTAAATATTAATTACTGCAGTTCGTGAAAAGAATCACATTTGAGTTTATAGTTTGAATTTTTTTTGATACAATTCTATGGTTAGGTTAACTTTCATCAAAAATGATAGAGTTTTAACAAAAAAAAAAACTTGTGCCGATTCGGGTGACGGTCCTGTAAAATCGAGATTCGTTAATAGTATTATTCAATAGTATAAACGCCGTCACCATCACCACTGTAGGCTCACCCCGTTCCATGACTTTCCTCCCTATAACTGATGTCATCTTTTTCCAACCTCTGTTTTAATTTAGTCAAAATGTTTTCAACCGTTATAATCACGGATAATTGATTGCTGGTTAGTTGATTAACCCACAAATTAGACACACGATTAATACGGTAAATGTGTGACCGCGCCGTCGGTAATGTGTATAGATGCTGTGGTTCTTAGTTGTTTAATTAAAACTTCAAAAATATTGTTTGTAAACAATAAAAAGCTAGTAGAATTGTTTGTAAATATATTACAAGCGAACCCGAAGATAATGAAGAAGTATAAAATATAATGAAGACCGCTTCTTACACATTTCTCGTTTACAAAAAAGTGGGTTCTTTTAACTGCTCACATAATTAAATTTATAATAATAGCCACATTTGTTATATTTAAAAATAAATATAAATATTTTAGTACAATTTTAAAATGTTAATGGTTTATTTTTCTAAAACTGTTGACAGTAATTTTTTAATTTCATAATATTATTGATTTTAAGTAATTTTATTTGATGTGCAAAAATATTTCTGGTCCGTATGTATTTGTAGAAAAACAGATTCAGTATGTTTAGCATTTCTGTCATTATATATATTTATATATATAGAAATGTTAATAAATCATTATACTTTCCTGTTAATTAAAAAATGTATTACAAATTATGAATTTTATGAATTTGAGTATTAGACAATTAAAATATTTAGAAAAATAATCACTATTAGATGGTCTATCTTTTATATTTGTTTTTCCAAATTATTAAAAATTAGTTTTATAAGCTCATAAAAGTAATTTTAAAAAAAGATGGAATTTTATGACATTTATTTGTCTGAAGATTACGCAATTAGTAAATCATCGTGGGATACTTTGTTTATATTATTGTATTGTTATTATTATATTCTATATTATACATTGACTTTGGGTTAATGATAAGATTTTACTTTAAGGCACATATTTTCCACAATGATTTTTCATCTTTTAAGAATAGGGTCTCAGGTTAAGAGGTAACTTGATACTGCTGCCAAATCCGTCGCGGGGTCATTCCCCTTGCTCCCGCTTACCCACTACGCCGGCTTATATTTATAAAGTTCCTGCATGACGTGAGATACGGTGGCGTATCTTTTATCCTGTTTGTTATACACTGTATACATTCAACTACTACAGCTGTTGTTCTACGCCCGTCGAATACTGTACATACGAAGTATATATATTAATTAGTAGTTGTTTCGTTCTCCTCAAAATACTAAATAATAAAGTCCAGTTGTGTTTATATTATTTATTTTATGTACATGAAAGCCACATGAGTCGTGTGTATTTATAGATGGAAAAAGTTTGCAGGTGCTAGATACAGACAGAATTTCAATACATTTTTTATTACACATAGATATACATGCTTGTGTACTGATTAAAAATAAAACTCTGATGGAGCAGGATACTATTATCCCAATTCAATAAACATTTTGATTAAAAAAAATAATTATAATTATAGTTTGTACACTTCGGTGTTCCAAATGCAGTGACGATCGCTAAGGCGTTTTGACCGCTACCATCCCTTTTCATCAAACCACTTCCACGTAAATTGAAAATTTTCATTTTCGCGGGGTATATTCGATCGCGATATCACACTATACTGTAGTAGATGGTGGTATCAACGACTAATATAATAATGTAATGATAAAATTTAAAAACTACTTATTATGAACGTTAAAAAATATATAATTTCTGAAGCGGAAAAATCGTATATGAAGTTAAAAATGTGATAAAATAGCATCCGTATATTAGATGCTGTAAAAAAAAAAATTCTATAATTTTGATTTATTTCGATAAAAAAAATATGTTTTTAAAATATTTGTATTACATTCTGAAATACTCCGTATAATGTGAACATCATACGCAATTGTGTTTAATCTAATAGGTTACTGAGTATGTGTCTTTTCTAAAATAATTTAACTTCTTTTTCTATTTCATAATATGAATTAATTGATAATATGCGATTTCATACATTTTAATGTATCGATTTAATTAATTATTTATATACTTAACGAGTATCAGTAAAATATATCTTATTATTTATAGTTAAGTGTAGCAATAAATGAATAAAAGTTTTTTTATGAAGTATGTATTATTATATTAATTTCTAGCATTATATATTTAAATATTATTGCTAAAATAAGATTAAATTTAACAAATGTAATACTTTTGTCAAATACTTTCTGATCATGTTAAAAAATGAACTGTAATATGTATAATGAAATTACAAATTTAGTTTAGCTACATACATGTGTGTGTTGCTCTTATTTGTTTTTATTTACACAAAATAAAATTAATTTTAAATTTAATAATATGCGATTTCTAGAAGTCCTGTCTATATTATTTGGTGTTATAGTCATAAACTTATAACATATAAGTTATTTCAAGCCATTGTTTTGGTTTAGTCTTATTTATATTTATATATTAATTTTATAAATACTATTCAGAATAATAATGTTAATAACATTTCTAAGGGTTTAATTTTATAACTTATTTGTACCAATTACTTATTGTTACTCAAACATGTTTTTGTTTTCAATAATTTGTGTAATTTATGTAAGCTTGAATTAGTTACTAGGTAATATTTAAAAATTATTTTTGATATATTTTAATAACTGAACAGAACAATAATTTTTTATTTTAAATTAATGAAAAGTTAAATTTTTATAAAAAAGACAAGTTACATACAAAAAACATGATAACAATGCTATGGAGTCTGTGCACAGTATTTCTGAAAATAGTTTTATATATTTAAGAACCAAAACGTTAAAAAAAACAACTAATACACATGTATAATTTTAAACTAAAAATTAGATAAAAAATTAAGAATTAGGTTGTCTTAAATATAAATTGATTAATTTATATTGTTTTAATCTGTAATTGTATAATGACATGAATGACATAAATATAATATAAAAATAAAATATAAAATATATAATCATATAAACGTATATATGTAAAATATTATTTTGTCTAATTTATAACTATCTTAAATTTATACATTAATCCATTTACACTGATTAAAGGTTTTTAATTTTTTTTTAAATAATTAGCTTGCTGTTTCATTAAAAAAAAAAAAAAAAAAATTAGTTAATTATTTAAAGCGTAAATTATTTAAATTTAAATCACAGCGAGATGTATTATATTTTCCGGTTTTGTAATAAATAAAGGATGAAATGTAAATGTACATCATGTTAATCTGGAAGTTTTATTTTCAAAATTTACTCTTTCGCGGTTTTCACGTATTATGGTACTATCATGAACTGTGTTTTATCTATATATAGTTAAAATTCGTCTAATGATGACCACCATGTGATTTGCATATTAACAACGATATTATTGTAATGCTACATTTTGTTTTATTAATACTTATTATCACTACAGCTAATCACCGCTTATTATTATTTCATTTTGTTACAGAGCTACTGCCATCATACTAGATTGGATCGCCAGCAACGGTGGTCGTGGTAACAATGCCGCTGGCCACCGATATTGGATCGTGGATGAGCCCAAAGACGACGGATACACTGCGCTCCATTTAGCTGCCTTAAATAACCACGATCGCGTGGCATTATTACTTCTAGTTCGCGGCCGGGCCGATCCTAACAAACGTAACGTCAACAAACAGACGGCTCTACATCTGGCCGTGGAACGCCAACACGCTGACATCGTTAAGGTTCAGTATATTTATAGTTAATTTTACTATATATTTTTGCAGTAATCTCGACATAATGTGTGTTTATAATTTAATTATTATACTATAAAATCGTATTCGTGTCAAAAACAGCTCCTCGTCCGTCACGGCGCCGACCCAAACATACCGGATAAAGACGGTGATACGCCTATGCATGAAGCTTTGCGTCATCACACATTACTGCAGCTGAAGACGGTGGGTACACCTCCAGCGCCTGGGATGAGCTTAGGATATATGCCAGGAGATCCAAACTCAAAATTCCGAGATGACGGCGGTGGTGGAATAACACTTCGCAACCTTCTCGCAGGCAATCGCGTCATACGCGAATACCGAAGATTTGGAGACGAGTGTTCTCCGGTAAGCCGGACTGTGACGAAAGACCCGTGTCCCGTAGAACAGGCAGCCGAGTTGTGGGCTGCCAAAGGCCCAGCGTACTTGGAAATGTTCGCTTCGCCTGTGTCCGCTGTGCAGAGATTAATGGCCGAATTGCTCGGACAGACCGAAGAATTTAGACGTTTGCACTTAAATGCGACAGGCGACGAGAATGTTTCTGATGGTGAAAAAAAGGAAGATGATGTACCTGCGACGGTAGCTTCAACAGTAAGTAATTTCTGAGCTCGTAGCTATGTAATTATTGTTTTATTATGCTCCAGTGATTATTATAAATCTCAAGTGTATAGACTGACTGATATAAATATTTTGTTGGTAATTCTAGGTACGGCCCTTGCACGAATTTTGCGTGATAAAATATTTTCGTGACTTCAGAGACCGAAAGACTGCCATAATATTAGGTTTAGGTTCCCTGAAAAAGTGTTTGATTACGTGATGGCTAGACATTTAAAATTATATTATAAAGTTCAATACCCATAGTAAATAAATAACTGTAGTGACCCTTAATATCGGAGCTGGAAATCAATGCAGTGATACAATATATCATGTATTATATCTTTGGAATTTTTTTTTTTTTTTTACAGTCCGATGCGAACAGTTCCATGGCACCCAAAAGCAACAAGCCCAAGAAACTGAATTACCGACGGCGGATTAAGAAGTCTCCGTTATGGAATGTACGTCAGCAGACCGTGGATGATCAAACCGGTCCACAAGTAGCGGGCGAAGCGCGCACCGCTGCCTTGGGCGCCGCGATGGCAATTTCTGGGCCAGGCAGCCGAAATCTTTTGGGCCAGCCCACCCGTGGCCCAGGATCCCGGTCGGCGCCCACCTCGCCAGTCGCGACAGACAACAATACGATCCCGCCACCGCCCAACGCAACGGTAATCGTATGCGTGCTCGCTGGCACTGGTCGCGCCGACCTGTGGGTGCGAAACAATCGTGGACAAACGCCGTTGGATCTGTGTCCTGCGGACCAGCCGTTACGCCGAGCTCTGATCAAATGCTGTGACGCAGCGGCCCGGACCCGCAGCGCTCAGGCCGCCGCCGCAGCCGCGGAATCCGGTACATCACCTCCGGCTCCTGCAAAACAGTGGCCTCAGCCGTCACAACTCATGCTCTACAACATGCCACCCGACTACACGACTAAAGCGCCCTATCACGACGCGTACGCCTCGATAGCTATCGGTGACCCCGGATCCCCGAAAGAATGCTTTAAACATCCCCCCTTCTCCAAGGATGGCTTCCCCAATTTCACCGGCAAGCGAGCGAATATCTTTTATAGATTGGTGTCCCTTGGCATTGAATATTCTGAGGTCTTGAAGCAGGTGGCACTCATTGATCCGACACTTGTGGGCTCCGACAACGAAGCATCCACATCGTCTGTTTCCACTGCTGATGGAGCCACTGTTAACTTGGACAACGAATACTCGAATAGTGTGAATTCTGAAGACCAGGACGATGATACTGACATAAGCCAAGCCTTTGGTGGCCTTAACATGAACGTTAATAGCAGCAACAGCAGCTGCAACATGACAGATAACAACGGGTACGATTAGATACGATATTTTTGCACTGCATGTTTAATCTAACAAGTAATACATATTTTAAAACACCAAATAAAAAAGAAAATATGAATAATTATATACATTTTACATTAAATCATTATGTCAGACAATATAAATTTAATAACAATATGAAATTGAAACTGAATATCCAGAATAATATTAATTAATAATGATTATTTATAGAAACCTTTTTTTTTCTTCTTTTTTTCTTTTTTTTTTTAATTTGCCTTATACCTTTTATAGATACTTTTACGATACGAATAATGTCTTGTAATAATTTCAACACAAAAATCGTTGGTAACTATCTGCTAGTGTTGTACGTGACATTCTAGTGTATTTCAATTTAATTAAATACCTCTACACTTCCCCTAGATTCAAGTCTGTGCTGTATTTTTAATGTATTGTGGAACCTCGATAACTCGAACTTTTTTAAGTCGAATTTTCGATAACTCGAATTTATCAATATGTCGAAGTATTATAATTTAATTTTGGCTTATAACTCGAATTTATATATTATATAACACGTACATGGCTCGATAACTCGAAAGTCAAATAAGCAAGTGTATTATTATAATTAACGATAATCGTAATTTAAAATCAATTAATTTATCAATCTAATCTTTACCTAATGTTTAAAAGGTACAATTATGAATTCAACGATATTATATAGCTTTGTCTAATACTACTCTTGCCCAGGCATTTGATAGTTTACAGGTTGTACGTAAGTACATTCAAGAACAACGAAAAATTGGAGACGATATTTTTGCCATTCTAAATGTTATCGAAAACTTTATAGATAGGACAATCAATAAAAAATAATCAAAAATATCAGGTTTCTTTAAAAAATAGTTCTAATTTATTCATTACATAGTATTTTCTTACTATTAGTAAATATATAAATAAATAAAATTATAAAATGAAGTATTTGTGTTTTTATATAAAATAATATTCTCGGTATCTCGAATTTTTTTTGCCGGTTCAAGTTATCGAGGTTTTCCATAAGTCGAATTTTCAATAACTCGAATTTTTTTTTACACATAACCGATTTGAGTTATCGAGGTTCTATATTTTATTTATCTCGACGAGTATAATTGTCGTAATTATTAAGTTATGAGTATTTTCTTTGGTTTTTTCTTAAATTGTTTACATTATTAACAGAGGATCCTCTGCAAGTGGACAAATGACCATCACGGCAGGTGGCAGCAACGACATAGAATGTTTGCCTTCCACTTCTAACAGCACCAGTTTCACTGTAGCTAATAACACTGTAACTCAGCAGCAAGATAAACAAACCAACGGGCAGGATCAAAAGTCAGTGGACATCAGCAATTCACCAGTCCCACATGAACGTCCCAAACCACCCTCTGAAGTGGCTTCCAATTCATCAGACCCTGCGTTGGTGGAAAAGTTAATGCAACAATTGAATGACCTCAAAGAAATGGTATATGTTTTGTAGTATAGATAATAAAATACATGATATCATGTATATGTATATAAATGTGCTTATTTTATTAATTAATTTGAAATATTTTAAAGAATATGTGTCCCGTTTGCTTGGACCGATTGAAGAATATGGTATTTATGTGCGGACATGGAACATGTCAACTGTGCGGAGATCGTATGGCTCCTGGTCAACCTTGTCCTATTTGTCGCAAGCCTGTGGCGCACAAGATCCTGCTGTATTAGACAACATTAATAACAACTCTACGGACCGATGCCGCCGATCTATACTATGATGCCGATAAAAATTTATATTAATCCCTTGGGTTATAATAACCATAACATATTATTTATTAATTAATAGTTAATTATATTTAATTTATTTTAACATAAATCTACTATAATTATTTAAGCATATTTATGTAAGTATAGTTATATTCTAATGACCCATAATCTAACTATTAATTTTTCCAGCATATATGATAATGATTAAAAAACAATTTTTTTATCGTATACGCAGTAAGTTCATATGATTGGTTGGATGTGTTTTACTTGCAGTATTTTTAATTTGAACTTTTAGTTACTAGAACTACTAAGAATTTTTGAGTGTATAAATTCAGTTCTGCATTCTGTTTTGCCCATACTAAGCATATTATTCATAAAAGCGTGTTCAGCATTTAGTATGTAGATTACGATTTTATATTTATTAATATTTAATAATACTACTATTAGGTGGAATGTATTATAATTAATTTGTTTACAAGTTTAGTAATTTCTTAGTAATATATAGCCATATGAACTATACATGTCTCATAAAAATTATTATAGTTTATAATATTATATTTTTAATTTTTATTTAAATATATTTAGGTCTCTCACTAAGTTACAAGCAAGGTGTTGGTGTAGTTTTATCTTAAATTATATCAACTATTAATTGTAAATCAATGTGAATATTGATTTTTTCAGATAAAATAATAATATTATGTAATTATAAATCTAGATACTATGTGTCTTTTACAATATTTTTACTTTTATTAATTTATACATAATCTTAATCCGTTTTAAAAGCTATTTAAAATATTATGTAGTTTTACCTATGTAACTTTGGTTAAATTAATAAATAGTTTTAATTAATAATTTACTAAATTAATTTTTGTTTTATTTAACAATAATGTACTCACATAATTTATTATCATTATATAAATTATTAATTAAATATTATAAAATTTAATCAATTTTATATTTATTAGTTATAACAAATTTAGTTTATTAGTTATTGATATTAATTTAGTAAAAATGATTAATAATTTAATCAATATTTAGCAAATATAGTTCTAGTGCTATTATAATTATCATTATAGCAAAAACCCAAGTAAATTAATATTTTAGTATATTATGTACGTATATACATATATTATATGCATATATATCTTATATATTAACACTATAGTCAAAAACTAACTATTACTATTAAATATTATTCAATTTTATATTAGATAATCATTTAGAATAACAGTTTTATAACTTATTTATTTTACTGTTCAATGGTATATTTATTTGAATTTTAGTCTTCTTATGTAGTTATTATTACTTTATGATAATGGTATAATATGTTTTAATATAATTATCTTAATATTTATAATCAATACTTTATATGAAATTTAAAATACATACATTATATTACAGATTATATTATAATATCTTATACTTCACTGACTGTTGTTTTCAATCATATCTTGCATTCATTATGGTAATAAGTTATCTTGCAAACTGCAAATTAATAAACTAAATTTACTAATAAGTACTTATATTGTTAATTTTCGAGCATTTTAAAATAATATACTAATTGTATTTAGGCATATTATGAATATTATAATTATAAAATAATTAATAAGAAATTACAATAATCTCTTGTTATTTTATTAATGTTTATAAATAATGAACAAAAAATTAAGGATTTTTAAGTAAAATTATTCTAATAGAATTTCTATACTTCAGGGAACCTCAGCAATATTAATTTTTTCTTTATATTTTTTTCCATAGTATTATTAAGCAAATATAAATATAAATAATTTTAATAAAAACAATTTAAAAATATGCATTGTTTAAAAAATTTAATTTTGGTTCAAATGAATAGCCAAATGTTAATTTCATTAGTGTTTGAACCATTTAATAGAAAAGAATAATCAGTTGATAATCAGACATATTCATCTAGTTTTAGTGGTAATATTACACAATTAATTACATAGAATTTGCATATCACCAATGTTGATTACAACAATTTTGTTTTATCAGTGACGATTGATTCAACTGTAAATTTATTATATATTATAATTTGATTTTGGTTGTAATTTTTTAAATTGACCCATAGTTTATTATTTTTAACTCAAACGTTTTTGAAATAAAATGTTTATAATCATTTGATAAGTCATTAATGGGTGATTTGATTTTAGTTTTGTTTAAATAGTATCCACATTACATTAATTAAACTATCTTGCTTAATTTTAATATTTATCTTGCCTTGAGAAAAATTTTAAAGTAATTTTGATATTATTATGTATGATTTCACTAATGCAAGTACTCAGTTTTTTTATTTTGTATATCTGGCAAAGCTTCTAATGGTATCTTAATGACGGACAGTTTTTCTAGTTGGACAAGAAAAACACCTGATACAATTCTACAATGAATCTACTGATGAATGAAAATAATAAAACTTTAATTGGTATATTTTATTTAAATAATTCAACGAATATTACAAGTAGCAGTACTATAATAGAAAATATACAATAGTGTTTATAAATATAATAATGTATATATTAAAATAATATTGCTTATGTTTATATACAGCAATAATATGTATTGGAATGTGAATTTAACATCCCAACTGTAATGGCAGTCAATTAGAGAAATAACCATAGAGCATACGCTGTTTCATCTGACAGATGCAACCAATTGTTTTCCAGATATGCATCAACCCAGAATTAAGAGTGGTCAACAATGAAAATGATCGAGACCATAATATCAGTTGCAACTTCTAGGTAATGGTGGTCTATTATTAATGGTGTCGACGAATTAAAACTGTCACATACCTATGATAAAATATATAATAATGATAAACAATAAGTTTGTATTTAAATTTGACAACAATATTTATTCAACAAATATATACCAGGATGCCTGCAACGTCCATCATCATGATAATGTTGATGGTTCCGATGCTGTTGTTGATGTTACAGCTTCATCCACCTGTTTGCTATCATTTTCATCCTTATTATAATTGTTTTCTTCTACTATGATTTTATCTTCCAACTCCTCCACTTCTGAATCTTCTGTGACCGAACCATTCACTACCGTTGGAGGTTCTAAAAGTGACCGGCGATTATTGTGCTCTCGTCCAATGCGGTGAGAGAGTACTCGTAGGCGGTCCTATTTAACATAATAAATTATCATTGTAACAATTAAATCAGTATATAATTTTAATTGGAATTCTCCCACATATTGATCAGTTAATGAAATATATTAAAAATTCTTAATTTCTAATCACATATACTTTTATAATTAATTGATTAATTCAAATACTTCACTAGTTTTTGAAGAATAAAAATAAACAAAATAACTAGAGTGATAACATTTTGAATGTAGTCAACTTTTTTAAAATTAGTCTTTCTATAGGTATATAATAAACATAATTAATAATACTTTATGAAACTAATGACTAAGGAAAATTGTATAGATAACAGTAAATAATAAAAATATTAATTGATAATTTTAATGATTTAATAAATATACATTAAAAAAATAATAACATAACATAAAAAAAACTTTATTTAAATGTTAATATAATACATCCAATTGATATACAAAACATGCAAATAAAATTGTTTATTAAAATAGAAGTGTTCCAAATAGAATTAAAATGAAAAAACTAATATATTCATTTATGGCTTCAATATAAAAACAGCAAATTGCAATAATACCTGTGTGGACTCTAGTATGTTTCCCACTACAGCAATCTTAGCCCGAGCATCGCACAGTCTACGAGCATAGCCGTCTAGTAGGACACTTGTGTTGGCAACTGTCTTGGATGAAGTAACTGATGCAATCTTGTCGGCAGTGGTGGGCGACTGTGGTGATGTTGCTGACGAAACGGCAAATAAGTAATCATGCTGGGCCAGCGACAGACGCTTTAATTCTGCGGCCAATGAGTCGAGTTGTAGTTTCAGATCAAGCTGGCTCAACCTAATGCAAACAGAAACGAAAAAATAAAAACGTATATGGTGTCAATTACATAACAGTAGTTCACGACTAGATAGTAACATTGAAAAACAATAATTATTACCTTGTGCACTGAACTGATGCATCCAGGCAGTCCACGCACGGTCTGAGTAGGCTGGCTACCAGACCGTCAGCTAACGTGTCCCGAGTGGCTTCGGCCGCAGCTGTGGCGGCGACTGCTGCTTCGTCGAGGTCCTCATCGTCTGGCGAATAGTCCGCTATAGAGCTGTTCAATGGTGTATCCACCCGATCATTCGTTACTGCCGTAGTATGCGAGACGGCTGACGGGGTTTCGTCGTCCATAGATCACGGTATAGACAAAACGGTGCTGTGGCGTTATTTTTCGTCGGCGAGACCGGTGTACCAGGAACCTACACGCATTATGTAACAATAGTTTATGCACATGTTTACGAGGAAGGCTGCCGGTCGGTGGCGTAAATACTTACGAACAATTCCGGGTAACTAGTTGAAACAAAGAAAGTCGAGATAGAAATATGAATTAGTGCACATTTTACGGATACCAAATCGCTTGTGCGATAAATGATAACAACACCGATAACACCACAGACGTTGCTAGAAAGTGAAATGATAGTCATGTGACAACAGGTCTTATCAACGATTTACGCAGTGATATTGTGATCCTTCTGTAGTAATATCACAGAATAACAATAATATAATAATATTAATATCACACAATAAATTATTATATTTTTATTGTTGTAAAATTTGTAATTATAGTTCTTAAACTTATACCTATCTATAATTTTTTTTTTTATTTAAAATAATATATAGATAAATTCCTTTTGCTAGCAACTCAGAAATATGTAAACATTTTAATCAACCTGTTACTTTATTTCTTATTAAATTTAATTTGATTTAATTTATATTAGAAAACACCTATAAAACTACATATGTTGAGCAGTAGATAAAGCAGAGTTATATGCATACATACGATTTGGGTACTAACTACCTGCCAGTTCAATGAGATTTTTAAGTATATTGTGAATAAAAATGTATACTAAAATTGTTAAAAGATCAATAATCCATTTAATTAGAAAATGATTTGTTAGGAAGTTGAAAAATATAGCTTGCATTCTATCAATTTTATAAATCTAAAATTAAACTATTTTTAGATTTAATCTGATTGATTCCTTCAAAAAATAAAAATATATATAATTCAATTTGTACAATTTTACCATGAGTAGTAAAAAAATTAAGATGACTACCTGCAAAAATTGTTTATAATCACAGTAAATAAAAGTATTAGCAAAAAAAAAAAAAAAAAAATAAAAAAATAAGCTTAGAAATTTTTCTTAGTAAATGTATATGTGACTGAAATAAACAGTATTAATTGTAATAATAATGTACTTAATCATTTTTAAAATTAAATAACAATTATATCTTTTGGAATATTGATTTAAAGTGAACACAAATATAGCAAGCAATAATAATCAATTATTGTCAGAGGTAGAGTTCTAAATATGTGGGCGGTAAATTCGGTAGACTGCCAAACGCTCTCCTGGTACATGACGAGACAAGATTTTGTGACATGCAAGAGGTCTGTTAGTGGAGTTACTACCAAAAGTTGTCAGAATGACATCATCAGCTGAAGTTTTTTTATAGATTATGTCATTATTGGTGGTCCATTTTTGACGGGCTTCCATTTCATCACGCACAAGTGCTCTGTAGTTGTAGTCAATCATCAAGGCATAAAACACCCCTTGTTCAGATAACAAATCAGCCGCTTGATGCAAGGCCCTACACAACATAAAAATAATTTTAAAAAGCACAATCATAATAAAATGCAAATTATATCATATTTACCGCTTAAGCACGTCTACACCGTCTGGACCACCACCAAGCCAAGCAGCATCTGCCATAATAGATAACAATTGATCTTGTGCAACCTGATCTTTCTGGTCGATTTTTGTTGTTGTAGGTGATAATGCAGGTTCACCATCAGGGCCTCGTACGTATGGAGGGTTAAATAAGAGTATATCAATGGGGCCATATACATTACTGTGATCACTAATTGCGTTGGTAGGTTCAAAATGCCGCATCCATGTTAGCAAATCGCCATGGATCACATCTACCTACACCAAGAACATATTAAAACACAAAAATTAAATTTTTATAGATAAAAAAACATTGAATAAACACACCTGGACACCATTGAGTTGGCATGTTTGAGCTGTAGCATGGCAAGCAGCTGGGTTTACATCAACTGCCAAGCAATGAACCCCAACGGATTCACAACTATGGAGAGCTTTACCAACAGCAGCAGTTAAAAGACCAGCACCACAACCTAGTTCAACAACTAATAATAGTCCACGTTTTAAACATGGATCTGCAACAGCTTTATTTTGACAAGTCAGTCGATCAATAACTATATGTTCAAGGTCCAGTTGTAAGGCATCTAGCATTAGAAATGTGTCCTCAGCTGGTTCATATACTGTGGAGGCTGCTGTTTCCAAACCTTCCTCATTGCTGATATTCCACAACTGGTTATAAAAGTGGTCAACTTTAATATATAGAGAACAAGAGTATATTATGCTACTTACTGGGGTATCAATGATCATAATTAATTGTAATAGTTTTAATGTATTGTAATCGCTACAGCAGATGTTACTGGAAATAATTTAATTCTTATTTTTACTTCTTGAAGGTCGTTTTAATTTAAAATATTAGATGGGTACCATAATAATATCACAAATATTAACAACAGTCTGATAATTTATTCCAGTACACTTTACAGATATTGAAGATAATCCCTAAATATAAATTTATTTTACGTTTGATAAAGAAACAATGTGTAGTAAAATTAAGTTGATTAGTTTTGATAATTTATATAACTAACGTTAAAGATTAATGACCATGATGCATTAAACTGTTTTTTGTAATTTAAATTAATTTTGTCGGTATAAAACATATCCAGCAGCAAACAAAAACTTGGACTTTTTTCTCAATCTACAAGACAATTTGCCCCACTGTCCAGTTTCTGGTAAAATGTTTACAGTTCCGAAACGAACTCTAAATAATTATTTTAAAACGATACATGAATAAAATTATAATGGTACATTTGTTTTCTTGTAAAATTACTTTATCTACAATAACGATCGCCTCCATTTGGTACACGGAGATAACACGGACGCTTTTTTTTTTTAAACAGAGTCTTCCTTTTTTAATTTTGCAAATTTGTTATACTATGTATAGTTATTACTTGGATGAAAACCATACGAATAAACAGTCAAATAAATACAAATTATTGTTGTTTCTGTTGGCTTTCGCCCGTCGCTCGGCCGTAATAGAGCATTGTGTCGACGGCACGATGCGGACGCACTGAGCCTAAACGTTGTGCACCGCACGCGAATATGGCACCTTCAACATGATAACAGTCGTATCAATGTTTATATAATTATTGTATTTTGCGCATTTTCAGAACACGCGAGAAATTCAAACCATCACCACTTTCGAGAGTTTGTTTTGCTTTTATTTTACAGAGCATTACGCTACGGACCGACCATGATCATTCCTATCCGATGCTTTACGTGCGGCAAGGTTATTGCGAACAAATGGGAGAGTTACTTGGGTTTGTTACAAGCCGAGTACACCGAAGGGTGAGTGACATAGTGTCGTGTTATATGACCAATACCATATCCTTGGTCTTAAGTGCACAATTAATTCGAATTAAAAGAGTACAAAATCATGAAATTTATGTATTTCGTCACTTAAGTGAGGAGGCTGATAATTAAAAACTTACATTCTATATTTGACTTGTTGCGTACCCTTAGTTCAACTGTCGTGGTGTTGAATAGAGTTGAGGATGTTTTAAATAATAACTCAACTTTAAATGTAATAACGGTTTATTATAAAATATTCTAAGTCCAAAACATTTAATTTATTAAGTTAACTAGCGCGAAAGTGCTTGTTACAAATGGACTAAAATATATCTGACTATTGATCTGTTCAGAACTACCTTATATATCCCGTTCTTGTGTATAAGTATTGAGTATAATTTTATTATATATTGAGTTATATTTTATTACGTATGACGTCATTAATACATTTAGGACATTTCATATTCAATAACTCAGTCCGCTAAAATACATGTGTTTCAATATTGATTACCTATTGTATACTTAAGTGGTTGGTCTCTAAACTTCTGTAAGTCACATAACTAACCTTTAACATGTCATCATCATGTGATTTATATTTGTATAATATTTGGCTAACGCCCATAATTCTTTATCATTGTAACCGTATTATTAGTGTATATATATGATGATTATAATAAGAGTTATTCTAATACTTAATGTAAATCCGTAACAGACTGTTGATGTTGAATGTTTCCCTAATTTTCTGTTTTTCATTATACTATAAGACCATACATTTAACCGATACCTTAAGAGTTGATATGTTATTATTTAAAACCGTGGAATGTCGACTGAACCATTAATTGTTATTGCCTAAGTGGAAGAAGAAGAATATCTTTTTTATTGCAGCTTGTATATGCAAGAGTGTAAAATGCACAATCAACAGATTTTTTTACAAAAAATAAATTTCTCATAAAATATTATCTACAGGTATGCAACTGCAAACCCTGAACACGAAACAAAAACCTTTTTTACTATACCCAATTAGTAACTGTACTTATACAGTATAGTTACATGTTTTCATAGTTCCGATTTCTAAATATACAAAATAATTACTTATGGCAAATGAATACATTATGGTTATATCTCAGTTTCTATTTGTAAATTTAATAGGAATTAACAAAGATTTTAGTTCTTTTTAAAATTTGGACATATATTCTTATAAATCAATGATTTTTAAAAAAACATTGTGATATACACTTAATTAACTGGTTACAAATATTTGTGATGATTTCTGTGTTATTTAATATTTTGTACTTTATTTATTCCAGTATTATTTTTTTATTTTCTTCATTGAAATTGAGAATTACACTTATATTAATTTATTAAATTATTTTAATTAGCGAGAGTCTAATAAGTATGTCACATACATGTAAGCTGCCAGTGACGCTTGTCATTAATTAATTTAAAAATTTTCATATTATTAATTAGAATTCAAATGTTTTATCATCTCTGATTTTACCAATTTATTTAATTTTTATTTTGTTTTTAGTAATGTAAAATTAGTATAATATAATTGTTTTTGTTTTTTTATCATATTTATTATATATTATTAACTTTTGATTGGTTTGCTTTCAGTGATGCTTTGGATGCACTTGGACTTAAACGCTACTGTTGTAGACGAATGTTGCTTGGTCATGTTGATTTAATTGAAAAACTTCTCAATTATGCACCTCTTGAAAAATAATTACTTATTCAAACCATTTTTTCTTTTTTTTTTTACATCGGCTGTAATTTATATATTTTTAAAATTAAAATTGTGAAATGTTTTTTAAGTATATAATTTTTTTTTTTCATGACATGTAATGTTTTCAGTGTACCTAGTTAATTTATAAGACAAAAATAAAGTAAAAAGTGTCATAATATATTGGTATTGATACGTGAATATATTTATTTTTTTTTTTAACTTAGAACCCGGGTAAATGCAAGTAATTTAAAATTTGTTATGAAGATAAATTATGAAAAACAATATTTTAATATAAAAATGTTTAAATCTTGTTAGTCATAATTGCTAATTAAATTAAAAGAACCATTAATAACATATTTAATAATATTTAAAAATGTTATTTTTAATGGAGTATCTAATGTTATTGGTATCAATAAATATAAAAACTATATTTAATTTATAATTGTTCATCTTTATAGAAAATCGGATTGTTAATGTTAAAATAGAAAATTTTTTTAATATTTAATAGATTAGGTTTTAAGACATTTGATACTCAATGTATTCATATATATTTATTAAAGTGTGACAAGATTTAGGAAGCCATTAAAAATGATATTATTTCTAATTAAATGTTTGAGCTGATGATTTAATTAGCAATAGTAGTTTGTTGATTAGGAATTAAACGAAACTGGTGTCCTAGCTTAATATTGTTTGCCTACATAGTTTATGTGAATACTAGACAGTATAGAATTTAGAAATTAATTATGGAACATAGAGAGTTTTTTATTTGGACATAATTATTATTAAGACTGCTGTAGTAAACTAAACCGTACCTTGAAAATGTACTAAAATTCTAACTACATAAATTTATGTAAATAATGGATTTATGACTTTTTCAATATTTACTTTTTATGTTCTAACAAATAAATGATAAACATCAATGATATTTTATAAATTTATAATTCAACAAATGCATTTTCAATAAGTTATAAATTACACTATCAGCATTAACATATTAATATAATAATAATTACAGTAATAAAAAAATGAGCGCTTATCTAATAATTTACTCTATAGTATAATTAGTATAATATAAAATCTAATATTGATCTTTTTGGGAAGTTCTTAATATAAATATTGTATCACTTAGTATAAAAAGAAACTAGTTTATTATTTTTACAAACTCAACATCTTAAAAAATACTTAAAAATATTAAAAATAAAAAATTATTAATTACCTATGTATTAATATATATAGTTGAGAATTTGAAATATATAAATTTATTTAATTTTTTCTAAATATTTTATTAATATTATATTACCTATAACATTTTGATGGCAACATTTTGAAATACAGTATTTTTATAATGAAGGTAATAGATAATAATATTGATGATAAATTATAATAATAATTGTAATACTCTAAAATAATTGAATTATGGCTAGTAACAAATTTAAAAAAAAAAAAATCGTTTTTTAATTTTTTTTAATCAAAAGGAATTATGCATTCGACGAATCATGACTCGCACCACTGATGGCAGTAAATAGGGTTCGACTATCATTACTAGGAGATGAACATGCTTGCAATAAGTCTCTCCACAACGAATCGCTTTCGACACATTCTGATAGTTCACGGCACATTTTTAAAAAGTTTTCTTGCAATGCGTCTTGATATTCTATTTGATCGGCAGACACAACCATCCGATTCAATTTCAGCGCATCGAAACACGTACTGATAAATTCTCTAATTTTATTAAAACAAAAACAAAAAATTATAAAAACAATTAATAAATTCTAATATATGTATTTTTAGTCGATTTGGAAAATTATTGTCAAGTGTTTAGTAAAATAGGCAAACGAACTTAAATCAGCGTGAATAACGGTTTGGTTATCAAGTCGTAGGATATTAATACCTCAGAAATTATTAATATTATTATTGTCTCTATAGGTATTGGTGGTAATAATGAATGGTATATTATTTTGGGTGCAGGTAATCATTCCGGATGCAAGAGTAATGTAATCAATAACATTACTTGATCAGAAGTTAAAATACAAGTTATCTACAAGTTTATATTATCTAACCTATGTAAAGGTACCTACGTTTTCGTTGATTTTATTGTGTTCATAATTAATTCATCACAGATCTCTACGGATAATATGATTACTAAACTATATCTTCGCCGTTAAGAATTTTAATTGTCGAAACAAATTATCTAATGAAAATGATAAACATTTATTAATTAATTTTTTTTTTATTCTCCTTTGTTTCAATTCATGGAATAAACAATCCGTTTAATGTAAAATATAAGTAGGTACGTCATATGTCTGCGCTATAAATGTTTATTCTGTCTTTGAATTAGAATATTTTATAGAATTTATACATTTTAAACACGTAGTCATTTATTGGATTTAAATTGTCATACAAAATGCGTATATATGCTAGTTAATTTACCTGAATGTATCCTTGAGGTCTTGAACTTTATCGGGCGAAAGTTCAAGAACGGCTTGTGGTTCCAAAAATGCTTTAGCATAGGCCAAAGGACCAGCGTTAACTTGAACACAAACGCTACCCTGTAAAAACATTAATTTTTCTGTTACATTATGTGAAGTAACAAATACATTTGTGTCATAGATGTCCTTTAATTTTTTTTTAAATATTTCGGATAAATATACATTAAGATGAATAAAATATTAAACCATATGTAAATTAAATCAATGCTGTTGGTATTTGTTATACTTGTTTGGTTTTGAGCATAACACTATGCATATGTAATTGTAATAGATATAGCGAATAGAGTATATCGAGATCTGAGTATACGGTGAAAAAAAATCATACTTGTAAACGCAGTTGTAGTTTTTTAACATCTGTAGGCTGTGCAGAAATAGCTTGTCTCAATTCGCGAACTCGCTGGCACATTTCATCGATGGCCACTTGTATTGGACACTGTTCTATTTCACGTCGAGAACATACTCGTAAACGTTTCTTGACGTATGGAAATTTGTATTCAGCTAAAAAACAATTTATATTACAATGATATTCGCACGGGCATTTTATAAACTGAAATTATCTGTTGAATGCAAATTGAAATATTACTTTTAATAATAGTTTGCCGTTTCCATTGCTCACGCGGACCACTTTGAGATTGACCGCTACCGCCTCCCACACCCCCGCGAGTAAACGGAGTTTCGAAAACAAAACTGTCAATGTCGTGATTACGTTCAAATTCAGAGACAGAATCGTTATCGATTTCCATATACATTTCTCCGTGATATGGTACAACGTGAGTAATTTGTATGTAAGCAAATTTTACGTCCAATTCAGAAATTAAAACCTGTAAACAAAAATAAAATTATTATTGGAAATAACAAAATTACTATAAATCATGATTTGCAGATGTTTTATATCTTAAATGTTCTATACATTTTTCATGTTAAATTATTTCGTGCAATTATAATTTAAATAGGAATTTAAATATAATGTCTTCATAGCCGAATAAAATAAATAATAAAACCGAAAAATGTAAACAATATCATATAATATATATTATAGATAAGTATACGTATATCAATGAGCATATATAATTTTTTCAAGTACGTCCGTCATCGATTTAACATTATTTATCATCAACTATAGTGTATACATCTATTTTGTAAATATATTACGTAATATTTTATATAAATAGATATATTTTTAAGTCTCAGTTTAAAAAAATCATCAGTATTATTTTTAAACTAAATATTGAAGAACTTCCAAAATATATACTCACGGTATTTGAATCCATAATTATGCGCACATTATCTCGACCAAACTTGTCGCCGTACTGACACAATAATCGCTCAGATATGTCCGACAAGGGCGTTAGCTTTGGTTCCTTGTAAACGAATTCCACACCGTGCTGATCGCCGAAATATGACTGGAATTATTTCATGGCGTTATTTCATGTTTTGATATTAGGACGATATTATTTACGATATAATGAAGAAAATCAAATAATACCTGACCAAATAGCGTAACCCTATAGTAACGGCCAAGCATTCTACGACCCGATTGTCGAGCAGTCACAGCCGTATCGTAAGCAAGACTGACGGTCCGGTAACAGTCGGCCAACGCATGGTAGTCTTTACGCTGTTCGTATATGGGAATGACCAATTTGTACAGTTCACCGAAACACTCGTACAGTTCGGCTCGTCGCAAACTGACAGCGCACGATTCAAGTCGATCCAAGAGAGCTTGCTCTCCGTAAAGTGTATCGTTAGCCGCTACACTACCACCGGAATCCAACTGCAACCCAATTTCGTCTCGGGCGATGTTTGACGAAATTTTTTTGAATACTTCCGCGCCCCATTCCTGTGTGCCTTTCAATTTTCGGTACTGCGCTACGAGAGCGGCAATATGAAGTCTACAACACGCAGCCTGGAATGGAACAAGTTTGTGTTAATTACTAAAATTAATATATTAAACGTGTGTCAACGTTTAGAAGTCTGTCGAGGTTAATACAGTACCTACGTGAGAAATAAGAAATAAAACTAACCTCTGAAAAATCGCCATTGTCATCATGATTTCGAGCCATAGTCTGTAACCATGTTAAACGTAATTCGGGTGTTGAAGCGTAAGAGTTTGCCAAACTATGTTGAAGATCGGCAAGCATTTCGGGGTCATGATTTAAATCTTTCATGCGAGCAGTCGCCATTAGAACGGTCCTCACACGTCTCGTCAAATCTTTCACTTGAACAGGAAACCCTAAAAACCATTTTTATTTAATTTCAGTACAATATTTGATACTAAATAAAAATAGGTAGTCTATATATAAAATATAAATATATAATTATAACAATATCAAAACAATTAAATTATTGTGTACGAATTGGAATTCGTTTTGAATCGCTGATTTAAAAATCTTAAACCAAACACATATTTTATGATCATTAATTCACAATTTAGGTTTATTAAATAATTATAAATGTACATGTATTTAATATCATTTAATATATTTATACTTAAACATTAAATTAGGATAATTTGTAGATAATGTTATGGGCTTGCATATTATAGATTAAATACAATACACACACAAAGATATAATAGTCAAGATTTAATCTTAATCACAATACAGGGGAGTCATAGTCAATGCACACGAGTTAGGCTTAGGAAGTAAATATAACCAGAAACAGAAATAAGGGTATGGACACATATAAGATATATTAAACTAATGATCAGTGAAGGGTCATGTAATAATGAGTAGGTGTGGACCATGTACAAAATAATATCGTACAAATAAATATATTAAAATACATACGTGACAAACAGTCCAAAGTTGGGCGTACGATAATGATTATAATGATTAGACAGTCATATCCTGGATTGACGGAAAAAAAACTCAAATTTTGGAAATAACATGTCACTGATCGCATTCTGTATTCGCAGATTTGGGCAAAATTTTATCTAGATAATTATTCGAATAAATATGTATTTGAATAAAAAATCATCTGAATAATAATTTATTCAAATAAAATGTTATCTAAATAATCATACAAATAAAATTTAATTCGAATAACGTCCTACTCTGTGTGTTTAGGTTATCATGAGATAGAGAACGATAGGGAGTTCATACGAGATTGGAACATATAAGGGGGTCCCAAACAGATCTATTTAGAGAATTGTTTTAGTCCGGTCAATGCAAGCACTTTCACGTCGCTTTACGTAATAAATAAATAAATTGGACTTGGAATTATTTGATAAGTTAATAAATATCTGAACTAAGAATTATTTGTAATAAAGTTAATACTTTAAAATCGAGAGTTCGTTTTATTTCACCACATATCGTAATTTACATTGATTGAGAAGCTCTACAATTGATAGTGCTCTACTCTCGTTGCACTAGTCTGTACACACAGACTGGCATGCCACAATAGATTTACAGTAGTCACCGCTTATTAGACTCACGGTAAATAGACTCATTTGTCTACCACACTCAAAACGGCTGGTCCCGATTTGCACATATACCAACACACAGCTAAAAATTCGTTTATTCGACTCACACACTGGTTAATAAGGTCATTTGAAAATCATATAAATCAAGAACATATGTAGGTACATACATTGAATAAACGTGTAATAAATTCGATAAGTCATTACCGGTATGGATCAATACTGAAAAAGAAGCACAAAATACTGATCTCGTAACCGAGGAAAAAATTTGTGGAAAATATACAGTCAAAACAAAATGTAGCTGGTGGTAGTGACGAAGAGGGATCTGATGAGAAACCATTTTCAACTAAATAAATGCTAGAAGTGCTTCAAATTCTACGTAGAGGGATTCAGCAAAGAGGCGAATTTGACATATTCGAGTAAAATCCTACTAAGATATGATTATGAAGTTGGCTGAAAAAGGAAAAATCCAACCCAACTTTGGATGTATTTTCATCAAAAAATTAATTAGATTTTATATACATATTATTTTATTTTTAATAGCGTAGCTAGATTTTCATTTTTATACATATTTTGAATCTCAATTAATATTTTTTAAGTAAATACATTTTTAATTTTAAGAATTTTTTAAATTGTTTTTGATCATTCGTCTTATTGACTCATTTGGTTAATGGACTCAAATGGTCAGGTCTCAAAGTGAGTCTAATAAGCGGTGACCATTATATTTTATACAATTTGTGTTATATATATATATAAATACGTACCAGTATTTTTCATTACTTTATCACTATTAGCGTAACTGTTGATCAACGAGAGACTTTCTTGAAATCGAGAATTATTAAGATCCTCAGACGTCAAGTCACCTAATAACTGTGACACTGCAATGACAGTTTGTAAATGAACTCTAGTAATGTTTGAACATGAAAGTTCAAAATTGCTTCGCATCAAAAGATAAAGAGCAGCACAAGATTCTTGTCGTACTTTCGACGACCGACTATTACATCCATTCAATAATTGGGAGCAAAGTTTACCGACCAAATGTGCAGTACCTAAATAGACGGTAGTTTTATAGAACATTATTATTTGATTATTTGTATATTATTTGTGAATATAAACATATACCTTTGAAAAATACACAAGAAAAATTATTGATAAATGATCGTAGAGTAGCAAATACGTGTCCACAAACTGACGTGGATTGTGCAATACATAAAAACGCCATAAGCACAGAAAAAACACTCTCCATTACATCATTATCACCGTTATGTATCATTAAAATATCTTTAAAGTGTATGCAATATGACGAAAGGGCATCAAGAACAACCAAACCTACTTCTGCTGTTAGATTGGCTTCAGCTTGTATTCGAAATGCTAAATTGTCATTACTAGTTGAGATATCTGTAAAAAAAAAACCATTCATACACATAACACAATATAACAATAAATAATAAATGTCATAGTACTATTTAATTTGTAATACAAACTTTTTAAGTACAATAATTACAATTTAAAACTATGATATACAATATAATAGGTACCTTTTTTCGAGTTCTCTACTCGGCCAATGCTGCCTGTACCATTGCTGTTCAATACAGGGGGCGATATAGATAAATGTGGCTGACAATTTGAATTAACTGTTGCTTCTTCATTGAATTCGGATGGTGGTTGCATTCGTGCAGGTAATGTCATAGATTTCTTAGTCGTTGTATTGGAAACTAGTTGAACGTTATCGGGGTTTTTCGCGCATGTAATATCTTCTACTATTTGTCTGCGTCCCATATAACGAAATTCTTGTAAGCTTAATCTGTACAAAGCAATTAAAAGTTATAATTTGGTTAGGTTAATTATTAATTATTTATCCGCAACAATTATTCATCATACAATAACCTCGATTCGATAAAAAAATATATTGCTTATACGAATAGTTAATACTAAATATATTCAATGTACTGTCTACAAAAAAATTAATACTATCAGAGCTATACAAGAAAACAAATAAATATAATAATTACGTTTCACTTACTCAATAATTTTAAAAAATGCTACGATTTCTTGATCAGAACAGTAACGCCACCAAGAAACTAATTGATCTTGGGATGCATATTTCAGAACAAACAAAAAACACACAAGAACGTCTTTGACTTCGGCAGGTTCTAGCTTACTAACGGCATTCACAGAAGAGTCCGCCGTAATATGAAACGTTTGAGTTCCACTAATGGACCTCGAGTGATGGTTCTTACTAGTACCTTCCGATTCGGATACAAAAGAATTTCTTCTGACAGTTGTTTTTTGAGATATCATTGATAAAGAATTTGTTTGATCAGAAGACGAATTAGAGGTGCACGAGTTTATACTTAAATTAGAATTTACTTTATTTAGTTTTTCATCCTGCTGATCTTGACCAATCAACTTTTTGGATGGTGTAACTATAAAAAATAATAAGAATAATAATAATAGTAATAAGAATTGTAAGTACTAAGTATTTTATGTAAATTAAAGTATTAATAATGTAATTTATAGATTGTAGTTGTTCTATAGGTATTATATTATGTTTATAGTATGAACAATTTTAAAGTTTAAACTTTAATATAGGTGTTTAATACATTTTTCTTAAAAGTAAGTCTTCATCATAAGACACTTGTTAACCACTTTTTATTCTCATATAATCTTTGAAAAGTTGTTAGTTATTTTAATTTTTCAATTTTGTTGTATTCTAGTTAATTTAATATAATAACCTAATAATAATTTCAATATTTAAAATTATAATTTTCAAAGATAACTCACGGTGACTAGCGATTGCTGCAAAATAAGTAGAATCCCTTAGGTTCAAAGACATTCTAGGAGCAATGTCATTATTTTGGTTACCTGGTCTAAAAATTTCAAAAATATAATTATATATATTTCAGTATAATTGAATACTCATAAAATAAAAAAATACCTCAATGAAGATAATTTCAAAGGACGTGTTACAGTTTTATTGACAATTCTTTTTCTATAATCTAATCGACCAATATTTTCTAAAACAATTCCTAGCAAAGGTAAATATAACGAAGCAATCCGAGCCATTTGTCCCTGTAATACAGTTGTAATACTAAAAATCATATTAATATTACAATAATTTAAATTTCTAAAATTCAACAAACGTTATCAAAATATAAATTTTAATGTAAAACATATATTTTATAATTAAATTTAATCTATATTTTATTTAAATCGTAACAGTGAAAAATCTGTTTAGACAAGTATCAAAAACTATTAATCAATTTTTAATTTTTAATTTTGAATTGGTAAAATATTTGAGTGCATAATGCATACATATTTACAATTTCATTTATTTACCAATAATAGTCGTATAATTTACCTACGCTCATAATTATAAAGCACCAAATATAATAGTTAAATTGTTCTTAAAACTCCACCTAAAAATAATGAGATTCATATTACCTTTGATTGATATCGATCGTCTAATTCATGTTTAGCAAGTAAATCACGTAAACAGGCGATGGCCGAATGCCGATATTCATATGGCAAAGAAAATGAACTTGAAACCTCACGTAATAATATTGCGGTTAAGAAATGATGTCGGCAATATTCGTCTGACATGTAATATTGCGAGTGCGGTGACCATCCTTGAGGCGTTTGCCCATTTTGTACGGGTAAATTGAATGAGACGTAATGTTCATGCGATATAATTATTTTCAAAAACAGTAACTTTGCGCTTCTGACAAAAGTAGAATCGCAAGTCGACAAATGACTAATATACAAATTTATCAGTTGTAGTACAAATCCTCTATCCATAAATGTTAAACATTTCTTTAAAAAATGAGCTACAGCCATATTTAATTTAGCCACTTGTGAAGGCATTTCTTTGTGTTTAAGTATCACATATGGTAATAATACGTCAATTAACATATGTTTAACACGAGAATGATATTCTGAAGAAAATCTTTCATTTCGACGCATCTATAAATTAAAATCAGATATTAAAATACATCAATTACATTTATAATATTTCAACAACAAAGAAAATATCTGATTATTCAGAAAGTATGAATATGACACTCTTATTGACGTGTTTAAATCATAATTTTTAATTTACAAAATACTAACAATATACAACGATATTTTAGGGAAAAAAACAATAAATGAAAAATAAACAAATAAATTGTTAAAAAATATACTAGTTTTTTTTTATCTAGATTTTTGAAATTATCATAATTGTATTACAAAAAAATATCTTATATTAAGACTCAATACACAAATTATCATATTATAATATATATGCTCATTGTAAATAAGTAGTAATGCAATTCAAGAACATTTAAATTTTTTTCAAACAAAATGTAAAGAAATATTACAGTTAACTAATCTAAACTTCTTTAATAACAGAAAATACTTTTCAATATTTAATATCACAATGCACTAATGTTTAGTAATTTGTATTTAGTCATGTGATTTAAAAAAAAAAAAAACCTAGAAGATTAATCAATTACCACCTCATACAAATAAAATCACCACTAATTATTAGAAATATAATTTAATTTGAATAATAACTAATATAGAGATAATAATATTTTATTTACCTTAATTCTGTTTGTCGTCAAAAGATATTGTCCCATACTTTTGATAACAATTTGAAAAAAAAAATTCGAGTTGACTAGAAATTTATTAATCAATAAAAAATCGGTATTATCTGGGTTAAGTAAACTCGGTAAATAAGCGAGAAGTTGATCGTGAACAGTTTTATTGGATAACATTATTGTCGGAGTAGTAAAAACATACTGAAAAAATACATTATATTTACATACATAATACATATATACATACATAATATTTATATATTACTGTATTTTGTTTAGTACTTCAATTAGTAATTGGACACATTTTAGATATTTTAATCGATAAATTTATATATCTTCTTTAAAAATGTATTGGAAAAATAATAAGAATATGCATTTTAATAATATATTATTAAGATTATATAGATATTGTATAGTTGTATAAGCTTATGAATTAAAATTTTAACAAAACTTTCGTGTATTATTTTAAAACTGAAATTGTTGAATGAAGTTGGGTCTACATTAACCAGCTAAAATATTTATAAAATATCCAAGTTGATTTACAATTAAAGAATTTATTTTTACAGCCAGATCAAAATTGATAAAATCTGTTTAATACTCCATTAATGAATTTCATTCATTTCCAATCCTTGATTTAGAAGATATAATAGGTCAACAAATGAATATTAAATGCAGTAAAATTTTTGAAAATATTTAATGATAAAAAGTTAGTAAAAAAAAATGTAGGAAAATCAAATTTAATTGTGTTAGATCCGATATGATACTAGTTTAAAGTAAACAAGCACTCAAATAGTATAAATAGTATAAATAATAAAATCAATAAAATAATGTCTTCTGAAAATTTAAAAAAAGGAAAATATATATCACAGATACTCAAAATGCATCAATTAATCAACATGATACATGAAATTAATACTAAATACAAGTATATATATTTTTATTATCATAGCTTATTTTATATTGTACACTAATAATTAATACCTTAATATATATGTTTAATGTATCACAACGGCCAGTTTCTTGAATTGAGTCAACTATATGGACTAATAATCTAATTATATTGCTTGCAATAGTGGTACAAGAGGTTAATGCCAGCAAATTAAATAACTGATTAAACAAGGTTGGTAAAAAATTTATAACAGAATCTAAATCGATTGCATGTGATGCCTGAAAAAATTGTTAACAATTAATAACAATTTGATCATCTCAAATAATTCATTTGATTTACTTTTAATATTTTACATGTTTCCGTTTCAGGTGGTATTATAGCTGTTAATTTACTATTTTCCAAACGTTCAGCATGTGCAAATAAATTTTGCATATGATTATCTGATGAATACACACTAGATAATAGATGACATTTCAATGAAAACAACAGTTTTTGTCCATCTATCCAACATATTTCAGGTCCACAATACTACATAGAAAAAATTTATATTTTATATATTTTATAATTGATAAATTTTATAATGCAATCAAAATAATACATAAATAAGTAAATAAATATATATGAATCGTAGTACAAAATAAAATATTAAGCTTACTCCTTTTCCAAGTCCAAAAGGTTGAACTGAAAGGTACCCTGCAGGTAAACTTACAGATACAGGTAAATATTTTACATCCATATTGAGTCTAAATAAATAAAGATTGATAAATAACAATATAATACGTAAATAATTTAAAATAAACTTAATTACTTTGATTTAAGAATAAGTGGGAGCCATGTATAACCAACTACGGTATCAACTGAAATATTTGATTGTTTCTTTCTAGAACCATCAACTGAAATATGCTTAAAAGTAAACAATAAATGGTGCTTAGAAGTTATGTGCACCGGAAGTCTTATTTTTATTTCATCATACCAAATCGGACTAGTTGTATGGTATAAGACATTTGTACACTTGGATTCTAATAATTGACCATGTGAACCATAAATGCACTGCGTTTAAAAAAAATAGGTTTTTATTATAAATACATTTTAAGTCATTGGAAAATATAATTTATTACTTTAATAGGTTTGGTGTTCACATCATCATTATCGAACATCTGTACCATACATGTGATATTACGAGCACGAGGAAAGTTTTTTTGTGCATCAAATGCTAATGATAGAGGGTATACATAGATATGGTTAATATAAGCCGTTTGTGGTTGTGCATCTGGATATAATTCAGCAATTTCAATGATAGGATGAGGTCGAATAGGTGGTATAGCAAATGGTTTAACTGCAGTCCAACTTGAAGTCAATATATCTAAAAAGAAAAGAAAAAAATATAAAATGATTACTGCTTTAGATAAAAATTAAATTTTCTCACTTTCTGGAGTATTAGTTAACTGTTGGACTTTTATCTGAACATGGCCTGGGATTACAACACATTTGTTCATTTTTTCAGGTCTTAAAAATTTAATTATAAATCATCTTAAATGTTATCTTGGATAAAATAATAATAGGCCCTTACTTGCGATATTCCATCAATATTTTAATCATATCATCATCTCCAAGCTTAGAAAGTTCTTGCCTGTACAGTGTCATATAATCGGAAGATGTATCTAATTCATTACTGTAAAGTCGAAACAATGGCCGAGCAGACCAAGCAAATGGCATTCTATAATTTCCTAACCTAAATACAAAAACCGATTACTATTGATTCAAAACTTTTTATAATATTAATTTACCTATGACAAATATTCTTAATGGCTTTAAATACTTTTTGGCCAATTTCTTTATTATTTGTAGTTGCTTTAACATATGGTTCAGAAACACGTATTATACTACCTTGCAGAACTTTATCTATTCTTAATACCAAGTAAATATCTGAATGAGGTTTTGAAATACACATTAGTGCCTGAAAATATAATAAAATATTTTCTCATCTTAATAGGTAAAAACTATTGTACGTCACTACATAACCATGGACGTAAAAAGAGAATCATTGACCAAAATCAAAACTGTATATTAATTTCAAACAAGTGATATTTTAATTATATGTGATGGAGGCAAGAAAAATATAGAAAAAATATTTACTGTTATATCATATATTAGTACAAACTAATAAGCTATAAGAATATACATATTTCATAATATAAGTATATTTTAAACAGTGATGTATCTGAAGGGGCTTCAGCCCCCCCCACCCCCCGAAATATTAAGAAAATTATATTTATGGTCTATGAAAATCGCTAAACAAGTAAAAATATTTTAGATTCAAGATTTGTCGAACTCATATTATTATCAATTCATAGACATTGAAATTTCAGATGATCGAGTATTTGATACATTTGTTAACAACGGAAAGGCTCAAAGGTTAAAATTGTTACTTACATTTTTTGTCATTTAATAATAAAATTAATTAAAAATTTTAAAAAGTAATTAAATAGGTATTGTTAATTATTTTTATTCATCATATTATATTAATGTTTATTAAGTAAAGGTTTATTTTATTACATAAAATTTTAGTTTATTATATTATGAAAAAAAAAAATTAATTGCTATTTTTATTATTATTATTTTTTTTTTTTTTAACAAGTAGGTAATACGTGTAAAATAATTAATTTTATATTACTATAAAATACAATATCCAAAGTAATTTTAATATACAAGAGTATTATTAAATATATATATGTTAAGGATGATATGAACCAAAATCTAAAATAAAACTTTGGTATCCACATGTTAAACTTATGGAAGAACCTATATAAACCACCACTGTGTAAAAATTGATTAGCCCACCGAAGAAAAATTCTGACTACGCCTATTTTTCAAATATAATAAAATACATAAAAAGTAATTAAAATATAATTTATTTAAGTTATAAGATAGTAAAAAAAATTATTTATTTTATTATAGGTAAAATTTAATTAATACATTTTTTTAAACCAAAATCAAATTTAGTAAAAATTAAGTTGTTTCCACTTCCAGTATATTTCATTTTTATATAAGTATATATTACATTATTTTGTTTTCCCCCCTTGAATATTTAATCAATTTAAAATTTAAAAGAAATAACGATCTCTATTATAATTAAATTACAATAAAATATATAAATAGATATAAGTATAAGTATATCGTTCAATATAAAAAATATTGAATTAGTACAATTACGTTAAAATACTTAAATTTAATTTTATAAAATTTACTTGTTTTTGACTAAACAGCCAATCTTTTGCCACTTTGCAATTTTTGGCTACCTCAATATATTTATGATCATCAATTTCATTTTCACGGTTAAGTAAATTTTTCATACTGTCATGATTTATATCAAAATGAAAATCTTCAGATATTTTTTTACCAGAGCGTACATCAAACAAAGCCAAAGTAGTAAAATATGGCTCTACCTAAAAAATACAGTAATCACTATTAATTATTTGTGATATAAAATATATCTTAAATATGTATTTAATATTATTTTTCAAATTTTTAATAATGTACATGAATTTACAACTCGATAACTTTTACCTTACATATATATTTATACAATTTTGTTCTGATAAAACATCAAACAAGAAAAGTCATCAGATCACACTTTAAAATGCAAAGTTACTTTTAGAACCAAGTTATTCTCATTCATAATTTAACAAAAGAGGCAACAAAAAATTCAAGTTGAATACACATACATATAAAAATTATGTGTTATAGCAATTTAATTTTAATTTTTTAAACTGTGAATTAAAATTAATGTATTTCTTACTACAGCATAATTGTTTCAATATCATCAAAAACAAAAAATGTATTATGTTTAATATCTGTTTATGAAGAACTTGTGTTAGATTTTAATTAATTTATAATAAATAATTACTTGATTAATTGCATCATTGTTTTCTTCATTATTTATATGTAATCGAAAATTTATTGCTTGACATTCAATTAATATTCTCTGACCAAACCGTTCTTTGTATGGTTCTGATATACTATCTGCTGGTTGATTTAATACATTTTGTCTTATATAATTACTAGGCTTTAAAAATAAAAATAAAATAATCAAGAAATGAAAAAGAATAATTTGTAAAACAAGTTATTAAAAAAAAATTTCAATTATATATTTATAAGTATAAGATGAAAATAATTTACTTGGTGCAGAAATGAATAAACTGCAAATAGTCTTCGTCTACATTCTTGACGTGCATGTGCATTTAAGGGATCAGTTTCTCTAGCGTATTTCATCAACTGAGGATTTACACTATGTTCTAGACCTTTTAATGTACCAAAGCTATCATTAGATGGTTTTTTGAACATGTTATTTTCAGAATAAGCTGCTTCTTCTAAAAAAAAATCATTATACTATGGTCAGTACATAAATAGTATATATGTTGTATATTGGTCTATGAAAATAATAAATACTACTAAGCTTCTCTTTTAAAATTTACTATAAATTATAACTACTGGTATAAAATTATAATATTAATATTAATTTTAAAATATAATTTTGACTTTAATTGATAATTTATTAAAATTGTTAATTGGTGTTCATATTTGATTTAAAGATAAAAATCTAACATCTATATTAGAATGTTAATTACAATAACTAAAATTGTATTTTTTTTCTAATTCATTAACAGAGTAAAAAATAAAATTAATTTTTTTCTCAAATAAATCAATACAAATGTATGGATGATACAAAATAGATTGGTAAATGTTTAACATTTAATATTTAATATTTTTATTTTTTTAATAATTTTTAAATAATTTTCCTAAGAAATAATATTTTATTCCTTTTTTTAATTTTCAATCAAATAACATTTCCTCAAAATATCCCCATGTTAATGAATTAAATAATCGAAAATATAATACTGAAAATTGTACCCTAGATATCTTCATATTCAGTCTCTTTAACTACCAGACAGAAAACACAGTTCACTAGTTCAAATTTTTATATAAAGTGGCTTATAAAATAAAATAAATTAACATTCTAAAAAAAATTGTTGTCATATAATATAAAAATACGAGGTTAAATAACAATTAATTCTGAATTCTTGTTTTTTATTGGCAGTTTTAAAATAATTCATTAAAATATTTTCATACTATTAATTTCTGGTGTTTTTTCATCTCGTTTATCATTATTATATTGTAAAGCTAATTGTAATTTGGTCATCCAATCCATAAGTTCTGGTTCTGAATCTGAAGCTAACCAATAACTTTTATCAGTATCAACCATTCTTAGTTCAAAACTAAATCGGCCTTTTTTACTATTCTAAAATATAAAATAAAATTGAAAGAATTGGTATCAAATTATATCATAGAAATTTAATACAATTGTATTTATTTATTTAAACTTTAAAAATATTCACCCGAATTACTTTGTCACACAAATCCATAACAATTGTAGCTTTAGTATCTCCTTTTTTATCGTCTTTATAAACTTCTAATATATATGTACCATCAACTTGTTGTCTAAAATACATTTTACAATTTAAATACATTTTATAAGATTATTTATTCAAAATAAATATGTAATTAAAGCAGTACATTTTTAAGTTATTTGTAGATAATTTCAAATAATATTGCATAAAAAATAAAAATAATAATGTTCATAAATTTACTTCAATATACAAAAACGTCGTTTGAATGACTTTGAACCAGCTAAATTAGCAAACATTCGTTCTGATGCACCTCCACCACCATCAGGTCCTTTATACAAATATCCTTCTTTAAATAAAGCACTATCATTTTTTATTGTCTTTGAATCCTATATAATAAAATTATACTTTAATTGTTATTCAAAAATCACAATAAATTAATTTAAATACTTTATCTAATCCATCTAGATCTGCATCAATTTCATAAATTTCTTCTTTGAGATCATCATTTTTATACACTCTAAAAAATATATTAAGTTAATAATACTGAAATAATAATTTAATAATTATGTTATTATTTTTTAAAAGTTAATTACTCTGATGGCAATTGAACATAAGATCCTGAATAAATACTATATTTATAATGTATAACATTCCAATTTGATAAATAACTTTCTATACATCTTTTAGTTAATAGTGAGCAATCTGTAATATCAGCATTTACAGGAATACTGGGATCTATAGTTCGATATCTTCTTGGTAAAATTACTTGCTGTACATGAAAATTATATTTAAAACATTTAAATACATTAAAAAATTTATTAAAATTAAAATTTATTAAGTGGTTAATACTCGTAAATTAATATATAAGTAAATAAATAAATAGTTTATAAATAAAAAAAAAAATTAAAGCTTATTCTGAAATATTATTATATTTTTAAAATAACATAACTAAGGTCTGGATTTATATGTTTTAACATATTGTTACTGAGTATATGCAGTCTCACGAGAGTAAAAATTATAAACAAATCATTGAACATAGAATTCATAGGAAAAAGTTTTTTTTTGCATATTTGAGAATATTTTGGAACATTTGGTCAATGTTGAGGAAAAAATACCAATTTCTTATAATTTTAATAAAATGGTACCTGAAAAATATTGTTTGAAACATTAATGGTAAAATGAATTTAATAATAATTATTACTATAATTATTTTTATACCAAAATTAACTAATATAATATATACAATTATAAAAGGTAAAAAGGGTAAAAATATTAAAACCAAAGTCTCTCAATTATATGCAAAAAAAAAAGGATTACTAAATATTAATAAAAGTTGAAAACATTTTATTTGGAAACGATGAAAATCTCTCAGAAAAATTCACCCCCAGTTTAGTTGCTGATATGAAGTTTGCACCTTTAACTTTTGTTGATGTTAAACGCTCAGTCAGTCTATATAAATACATTTTAAACAATAGAAGAAATAATATAAGCACAATTATATGGAAAAATATTTTATTGTTAATTTATATAATAATATTTTAAAGAAGTATATTTAAATTGTATTTGAACTCTTTAAAGTTTTTTTTTTATTTTTTAAATATAAAATATTTGCCAAATTACAAAAGTTATATTTAATACTGTTATTTTAATGCTTATTAAAACTATGCAAGAATTATAACTCACTAGTTACTATAATATTTAAAGTATACCAAAGGAATATTGTTATATTTTTATGTTTTGATAAAATAAATGTTTTAATTATATTGTTTTTATACTATATTTTTATAGTGCAATTATTTTACTACAAAAATGTATACCTCATTTGAGTATAATTAGACATTTAACAAATGTTATAAAAATAAATAGTAAAAATCTGTAATTTTTATATATTTTTTCATATTTTTTAATATTATTACATAATTTTTTAGAGAACATATGCATCATATTTTAAAAATATAATAATACTCCAGGCTAAGCTTTTATTTATTTACTTATTTCTATATATAAACTATTTGTTTATTTATTTATATATTCATTAATTTATATTTATATTTATATTGTGTATATTAATATTTATATTTTATATAATGTTTGCAATATCATACAAAACTAATTTTAATGATTAACTTCAAAATAAGTTAATCCTTAAAAACAAGATTTAATGATAAATTTTAGATTGAATTCTTTTTAAATAAAATATTTTTTTTAAGTACTTACTGAAACATCATCAGAAGGATATATTAATAGTTCTCTTTGAGGGTCATTTTGAAATACAGTTTGATTTTTAGCAACATAGTCCTCAAAATCTAATGGTTCCACCTGATAACATTTTTGCTATAACAAAATATAATTTTATTATAATTCATTTTTCAATACAATAATTTATAAAATACTAATAAGTAATTAGATGATTTCACTGTGTTAACAATAAAGTAACAATTATATAATATAGATTTATTAAATAACAATTTTCATAATATACAATAACAATTTTAAAATTATTAATGTTTACTTGAATTTTATTGTAGGAATAATCATAATCTTGTTTTGCTATACTTCATTCCTCAATAAATTTAGGTAGATAAACTTTTTTATATGCATCTTCATTTATAATACATATACATATATATTAATACTTTGACAATAATTTAATTATGATTTTAAATTTAAAACAAATATTAAAAATTTACAATTTAAAAGAGTATGAAACTTAATAAATGATGAAGATAAAACTGTAGACATTTTTAAGACATTTTTTTGGGAAAATTAAGTTTTTAAAATACTTGGGTAAAAAGTCTTTTAAAATTATATATTTATACATGCTAAATTTTTTAGTTAATGGATGTTTGTTAATAATATATTACAACAAAGAAAGAAAAAAAACTATTACCTACTATAAGTAAATATATACATTTTTAAAATATAAACACCTTATTGAAAAAAATAAACTACATACAAATAAAAATAGTGAAAAATATATTATTTATTGAATTTAAGAATACTTTGTCACTTATAAATTCAGTAACAAAGTGGAAATTAAGTTTAAGTAGACCTAAAATAAATGTTTGATAAACACCACTTATTATTACTAATTAATATACACACTCAATATGATTGCATATTAAATTAAGGAACTAAAATAAAATATCATAGAAATTAGTTAAACATTATATTCTAAATATTTTATAATAAATCGAATAATTAATTTTTAAAACTTACGTTATTTGAGCTATCTCGTACAACCTGAGAAACAGTTTCTCGAAGTTGAGCAGCCATTCCTGGCCGCCCTAAACCTTTGGTGAACTTCCTTTCTCCCATCATTCTATATCACTTCAACTTATAAATACAGTTGAAAATAAATCACAGATATATTGAAAATACATTTTTATATTATAATTGTAATAAAATGTAAATGATAAATATTGAAAACTACAAAAAACAAAAACCAGTGTGATTAAAAATTAAAGTAATCATCTTAGTATTGCAATGATATATTGAAACTAGTTAAAAATAATTTTGAATCACTACATAATTTTTAAATGTCACTTAAATTCGGCTGTCACCTACAAACCCTCTCTTTATATGCCGCGTACCGATAATGATAACAATACTAGAGATGATAATACAATTGATAATAACTGATAATATTGTCACAGAATAAATATATTCTGTAATATTCTCATTAAGTACTATCATGGAATGCTACGGCATACTCTGACAATATTGACATGACACTTGAAAAAGGGATCCATATAACAATGTATTAATTGATTCGATGAATTACCTCAACTTCAGTGGCGTATTATGGGAGGGGGATATCGGTGATAGATCCCCGCTTAAACTTTTTTTTTCTTGTTTATAATGGGTACTTACTATGATCTATTACCAGGATAATCTAATAGAGGAAATACATTAATAACAATTCAACATTTGAACGTTCGTAATTTTTAACGCATTTAGTTGGTGACCGTATACGTAATGTAATTTTAAACAAATCCATAAGGCCAATCCAAGTATTTAGGACTGTTCTGTTGAAAAGTGTTATTGTTTATTATTACCAAAAAATTAATTTTATACAACTGATTGAACAATTTATTAACTAGACATGTTCCGAGTAGAAAATTGATTACAAATAGGGTACTGAGTGTGGTAAATATAAGTTCCTACACGAGAGTAGTAGGTACAAAAAATACGTACGTTAGTTCCTACACCAGTGGCGGATTTATTGTTTTGGTACCCCTAGACTTAATCATTCTCCTAATCTCTCTCCCTATCACTCTACTAAGGAACCAACAATATTTGGTCTAAATTCTCTTCTTCAAATTATATTCAGTTTTTTTATCAAAAAAAAAATATAATTTATAAAATCTTTATAATAGAAAACTTCTAAAAATAAAATATTTCATGTCTATTATTTTACATTCAAATATAAATAGATAGTAAACATTGAACACAGAAACATAGTTATAATATTCCTATAATATTTAAAAAAATTTGGTACAAAATCTTTGAAAACATCTATTAAAATTAAATTAAATGAGTACTTTCTTTTTTACAATTACAATATAGTTAATTAATACAAATAATTGTTATTTATTAAAATTAATATTAAAATATTATATCAATATTTTTTGTCTGCTTTTTTGCTCTGCGAAGGTTTTTATGAATGTCTTCATGTTCTATATCTGCTGTAATTTAGTTTTCAATACACAATATTGCTAAAGCATTTAATCTTTGTTGGCTCATTGTTGATCTTTGGTAATTTTTTATCCTTTTAAGGCACGAAAATGACCTTTCAGCCGAACAATTAGTTGTTGGTTTACTAATAAAAATTCTCAAAACTATTTCAACATTTGGACAAACTATTTTAAGTTAATTTTCATTTAATAAATTGTATTAATTTTAAAAGAGACAGTGTTTCTGGACCAAATTAATATAATCAAATATTCTTTTAAATGTAATAACTCAGTTTGCAAATCTTCATGGTCAAAATCAGTTTGGTAATTTTCCAGAGGTTGTTCGATTCTTGTTTTATTTCCCACGGATTAAGTTCAAACAATCTTGTTAAGAAAAAAAATGGTTCACAGAATGAATTATAAACCTGGCAACTTTTTAAAAATTCATTTTCTAGTGCATCAAGAATAACCATGAATGTATTGATTCTGAAGTTGTCCTTCCCATTGAGCTCTGTATTGTCAGCTCTATTTTCGTCGTATTGGATCGTCCTCTTTTTTTTTCTTGATACACTAGTTTTATAATTTAGATCGATTTATTGCTTAAAACTGCATAACTATCAAATTCTTCACGTAGTGAACTTATAAGGTCAATTAATGAATCATATAACTCCAAAACAATGACTACATCGATTTCAATGCTTTATAGTTTTTTATTTACAGCATTTAGTCTACTTAGTAATAATCCCCAAGAAATTGCAATAACGTGAGTTTCCAAGTATTCAAATTGATGACGCAATCCACCTGCTTCACTTCGAGTTTCTGGTGTTTCAGTTACATCTTTTTCTATTTTTGATAGCGCTTTTAATATTTCACACCAAGAATTATTATTACTGATACAAGCAGCATCCCTTGAAGACCATCATGTAGTATTGATTCGTTTTAATGTCTTTGATTTAGAACTTGTGACTCACTAAAACATGCCATCTATGAGTTGAAGCAGAAAAGAAGGTATATAAATATTGAAGATTGCAAAAAAACTTAGTAACTTCGGAAGAACATTGTACAGTATAGACTCCAACTAGGTTCAGCAAATGCGCAGCACATGGTACTTATATTGCAAGAAGATTTATTTATCTTATTCTTGCTAGTAGTCCTGTATATTGGCCAAACATTTTGCTGGCATTACCATACGATTGGCCCCTGCAGTCTTCAATAGGGATTTTGAAATGTCTTAAAGTATTACAAGTAACTTCACATAGCTGTTGAGATTTATGATTACACCCGGAAATAAAAGTTAAAAAGTGTTCAACTGGGACACTTTGATGAACATAGCATAAAATAACAGATAACTGATCAGTATGAGATAAATCAGGAGTCGAATCTAACACTGTTGAAAAATATTTGTTTTTTTTTTATATATTTCATTTATAATTTTAGATGTTACTTTATTAGCCATATGTTGTTTAACTTTCTCATAAATTGTAGAAGACACGTATGAAGTAGATCCAGTATCCTTGCTACCGTATTTTGCGATGTGTTGAGACATGAATGGATCAAATTTCGCTAAAAGTTCTGCGACCATTAAAATGTTACTATTGTAAATTGATTCAATATTTTCATCATATCCTCGAAAAGATAATCCACGCGAAGATAATGATTGAATAATTGTCGCTAATCTGTGTAAAACATTACGCCAATAACTTATCTCATCATTTAGTTGGGACACAATCGGTTTATCTATACGGAAATAAGTATTCTTTCTAATACCCATCGTTAAAATACTTTGTTTATGACTATTAGCATTTTCGTGTTGATTAATGCGCACAACTGAATTTTTCTAGTCATTAAAACCTGTTGAAGCTAGTGAATTGTTATTTTCACGATTAAATAATAAACAAGGACCACAAAAAACTTTTCCCAAACTTTCAGAATACACTAGGCATGTCCTTTCACACTTTTCTCTGTTTTTTAGTACTTTTACATATACACTCTTGTTTAAGTATTTTGTTTCATCAGAGTATTCTCAATTGGATTTGGAGAGATCATTATTTTTATTCTGTTGGAAACCGTGCATGACAAAGTGATCACAAGTCATTTCATCATAATTCCAAAACGCAGGATCGCCAGGATCTTTATCGGAAAGTATTTGTTCTGAATGTTCTAATATTTTTTAAAATATTTTTATTAGCGTCTTTGTTGGTATAACTAATTTTAACAGAAGTATTCAAGTCGGAAAAAACTTTACCAGAGTCATTTAAATAATTATTAGTTTGTTCAGATTTTTCAGAAGTATTCAAGTCGGAAGAAACTATACCAGGCTCATTTAAATAATTATCAGTTTGTTTTTAGAATGTTCAAATATATTTGAATGATTTGTATTGCAAAACAAATTCAATTTTTTAGTTTGACTAATTAATTTTTTTTTGTTTTGATATTTGTCTATACTGCGCACCACTTAATTTTGTTTTTTTCATTTTGTGATGATCCCGAAACTTTTTTTAAAAAACAAAATATACCGATTAAAAATATAAACCTAACCTTTATTTACCTGTATATTATTATTTTTATTAAAATTAATAAATTATAATGATTTTAATTAATTGATTTAATTAATAAATGATAAAATAATTAAAACTAATATCGTATTAATATAATATTATAAACTAATAAACTGTAATTATAATACCCTAATTTATTATAGGGCAGTAACAAAATAAAATTTGAATTTGCTCAACTCTTATAGAATTTTACATAAAGTAAAATATAAATTATGTAAGTATTAAAGTCTAAAATATATAAATAGGACAAGTATACTGTATATTGTATAGTGTATACACTATAATACTGTATATTCAAATAAAAAATATAAAATATTACCATAAGCGAATTTACAATATGTTTATGCGATCTTGAATAATACTTAGGTATAATATTTTATATTATTATAGTCACACGAATTATCTTTTGTCTGTTTATAAGATAATAATTTATTACCAACAAAAATGCATTATTAATAAATTAGGTGATACACGCTACATGACTAAACTTTCATAATTTATGTGATGAAAACAAAATTAAAACTTCAACAAAAGTAGGAAAGAAATAAAGTTAGAAAAACAGATCCACAAGTACAAAATTGAAATATTATTTTCAAAAGCTTCCCCGCTGGAAGGTTAAATAAAACAATGAAAAAGTAAGAATGTAATTTATTATCTTTTAAACTACTCTCCGCCTTTCCGTTGACCGTCGTCACTCATCAAATGCCAATATTCAAATACATTTAAATTTTAAACGCGAGAAATAAAAAGTTTATTTTATTGGTCTTGGACATAATAATATTATCAATACCTAGTCATTAAAACACACGGTCGTACTGTCGTAGGCAGATGCAGGCCGTAGAACGTCTAATGGTATAATGACAATTGTTACTGAGAACAAGTATTACTGAAATCTTTTTCGAAAATAACAATTAAGTAAATACTCAACTGTTATATTTATATTTTCTGAAAATACCTATACTCGGATAGTCGGATGTTCCCAATAAGTACATAGGTATAAGTTATTAATAATAACTAGTAACTACTGTAATTATTTTATTACAAATGAAATATTTTCAAATTGTAATAATAAATGTAATATTCTTACTATAGCCTATAGATACGCATCACACAATGTACATATTAATATATTATTGCAACTTTTTAAAATTATTTTTATTCGTGTTTATATGACAAATATAAAAAAAAATATATTAAAATAAATATACCTAATAAGTCAATAATAACCCTTAATTCTAAAAAAAAAATAGCCCTCCCAAAAAAGCTTCCTTAAGCTATGAGCCTTTTAGTGTGCCCCTAATCCGCCACTGACTGGCACTAGGAGCCTTTTGAATCAGTCCAACTCTCAGCGATTACAACTTAGCTGGTGAACCTCCTCCTACACTGAATAGAACAGAATTATTCATAAAATATATAGCAAGACTATCTAGACTCAACCAAGGTAATAATAGTGACGTAAATGACGAAATAACCAAGCTAACTAATGAGAATGCAGTAACCCCAATTAAAATTATTCACAAGGAACTCAATATAACCCCCCCCCCCCCCTTTGGGATAACACCTATGTAATTAATACCGAATTAAATGACCTTTCAAAACAAAATACAGCACCCGAGATATTTAGAAGCCATGTCTACAATATCCTAGATGACTTCAAGAATCACCAAAAAATCAAAGGGAAATGAAGGTGTCGATATCGCTATTGCACTTGAAAATACTAATATAACATTCAAGTTTCCTAATGAGCGCTCAATATTCTTTGATGAAGCTTTGGCCATTCTAAAAGCCATCGAAACCATCAATAACACTAAACACACAAAGTTCGTAATCCTTAGTGACTCCCTAAGCGCCATAAATAACATAAAAAGCAAAATTAACCAGAGTGACATCTCAGTCCTCGTCTAAAATCAACTTGATGAAGCTAAAACAAATAATAATAATTTGGATCCTTGGACATATCGGTATCGTAGGTAATGAAATAGCGGACAAATATGCTAAACTCGCTGCATCCAACCCAGACATAACCAAACTAGAAATTTCCCCATATGACGTCATCAAAAAGGCAGTCAATACACAAATAAGGAAAAAATGGCATATACTTTGGAACAATCAAGACACAAAACTAAACTAGATAAAGAGAACAACATTCAGATGAGAAAATCATAATTTCAACTGAAAAGAAGAAACCACTATAAATCGATTTAGAATTGGGCACTTTAGATTAACACACGGATACTTCATGATAAAATAAGAACTCTCCTCCTGCGAAGGATGTGGGACTCGCCTCACTATCAAACACATCTTAACGGAATGTCAACTCTATCAATAGGTACGAATAAACCTTAACATGACAGGAATACTCAACTCACTACTCGATCCGGATCCCGATCCAAACATGGAAATACTAAATTTTATAAAATCAATAAACTTAATAGACCAAATATAATGTAAATATAATCTTGTAACTAATAATATCCACAATTTAAAAGAAAAAAAAAAGAAAAAAAAATTGTAACTAATGGCCTATGATTCCGGGTTGTAAAATAACAGATCAATACACAGATCAATAAAAAAAAATAAATAAATAAATAAAATTATAAAACATAACAGCAATATAATTATATATAAATTATAATTATCATACCTATTTTATAAGTTATTCAATATCATCGATTTTATAATATTTATATTCTATCTAATTAATGTGATCAATAAAATAAATAAATACATATTATGTAAGTACATATGTACCTATATATTGTATACTGTTTTAGGAATCACATAAATAAACACGTTCATACACACGTTTTTTATTTTAACTGTCATTACCAGTTTTAAAGTTTAATCATTTAACTCAAAATATTATCCACATTAGGTACTTAGATATTGATAAATCAATTTATTTGTAGTTCATTAGTTTATTTTTGCATTTATTTTTAATTTATAAATATAAAACTTCGAATAACAGTTGTTGATAATTTGATTAGTAGTTTGTTTTAAAAACAATATATACTTGATTTCCCACTTGAGTTCAAAGGATACCTATGTGAATAATAGTTCATTTGGATATAGTAGTGTAAGTAGAGTACGCTTTCAATGAGCTGTATATATCAGAGATGTATTATAATTTTTAAATTGATTTTCTATTCTTAAAACATCAAAGATTTGAGTTTGTTAAATAATAACGAAGACAGATAGCACCACATTGATCTGTCTATAAGAATAAGTAAAATATATATATATTTTTTTTAAAGTCACGAGTGATAATATGATAACAATATCTAAAGTGTGTATACCCATTGGAGAAATTACATTTTTAAGTCATTTATATTCATTGGATTATTTTTACTTAAATGTTAATATAGAAATTTAAATTATTATTCTATTATTTTTAGTTTAAAAATATTATTATTGAAAAAAAAATACATTTACTTTTAATACACATTTTTGAAATGGCAAGTAAAAAAGCAATTGATGGAATTAAAAAAATATTATCATTTTCAATAAAACGTAATGGATTTGACAGGGTTCTAGATAAGGTATATTATTATAAGTTCTAATATGAATATATTTCTTCATGAAATTGACCCATTTATTGAGTTGATTTGTATTAGGTGGATGTAACATCTGCTGGTAATGGCCAATGTACTGCTGAGATGGTCGTCAACGTAGAACATACTAATGTACATGGGACTCTCCATGGAGGTTTTACAGCAACTGTTGTTGATGTAATTTCTAGTATGGCAGTATTAACTCATCCAAGAGTTATTGACAATATTGAATCTTTTCCAAATAGTGGTGTTACAGTTGATCTTCATGTTTCGTAAGTATTTCTAAATCAACAGTACATTTATTATCTTTATTATTTTAAAATATTTTCCAATGATTTATTTTATTTTTATTTATCATATGAAATGTTAAGTAAATTTTACCAACTTTTTGATTTCAAAAGTTTTTAATTTATTGATAGAACTGAATTTAAAAGTATATAATGAGTATATTTGTATAATAAAATATTTTATGCAAGTATAAAGTGTCATAGTTTTTTCTAAATTTAATATTGTGATAAAAATTGAAAAAAAACTATGCTTCAATATTGTTGTTATAGAGGCACTAAAAGACAAAGTAACATTTTGTGGGTCATTATAGTTTCTTAGGCCTCAACTAAATCCAGAACTGTACATACATTTATATTAATACATTTTTAATTTACACAGGTCCTTTAATAAAACCATAATAAATATATTACCTAACATATTTTTTTCAATACTTATTTTGTATTTATAATATTCATTTTATAATTTTATTAATGTTTTTTTTCCTAGGTATTTGGCTTCAGCAAAAATTGGTGACCGAGTGGTCATTAATGCAGAAACTTTAAAACTTGGAAAAAATTTAGCATTTTTAAAAGTGTCATTGATCAGGAAAGATGACAATGTTACTATAGCAGAAGGAACACAAACTAAATTTGTGGGATGACTAAAAATATTTTTCACTTTATATTACATATGATAGTAGATTTTAATTGATTTTCATATTGTTATTTAATATTTTAGTTTAAAATAGATGTATCATTAAAAAAAAAAAAAATGATTTTATTACTTGTTATATTTATCAATAAATAAATTTGTACATTTTTCAATTTTTAAATTATTAGCAAAATTTTAAACTCATTTAAGTTACAAAATCTTTTACAGTAACCTATTAAATATTTTTTAAAATCTGTGACTGGTCTTAATAAATTTTCTTGTACTTAATTATTTATAATTATGTGTTAATAAGCATAATTTTAGAAACTACGAGTACTAATTTTGATTAACATTTTATTATTTTTTGTAATTTATAACTTATTATTTATTTTTCTTTGTTTATTACAAAAACATTTGTTATGCATCCATCATATAGAGTTTCCTTAAATCAACTACCTATGAAATGCTTCTATAATATCATCTTTATTCAAATTCTGCTTATATAATGGTATAAACATTCAACTTTTACAACAATGTAAATTTTAGTTCTGTTTTAATTAATTAATTATAAGATTCTTATTAGATATTTACGTTTTATTTCAGAACAGATTGAAAAGGTAGCGTACAGAGACGCGGAAAAAAATTTTGTGGGGGGGGTTGAAAAAATAAGAATAATTACCGTCAGGCCCGTATTTAAACATTCGGCGCCCCCCCGAGCATATTATTTATGTCCCCTCCCAAATAAAAAAAAATTAAATAAATAAATAAATAATAATTATATAACACTTATTATTTCGTCCATAATCGAGATTCTTTAATATTAAAATATAACTTATAAAAGAAAATCGTTTAATACTTTTTTTAATTAACAAATTAAACAAATTATAACATAATAAAACATATTATTTTCTTTTTTTTACTGTTTTATTTTTTTTTTCATTAGGCACATCATTTTTAAAATTAATTTTATTAAAATATTTTGCCACCCCTGAGACTTGACGCCCCCGGACATGTGCTTACCCGTGCCCCCTCTAAATACGGGTCTGATTACCGTTATTTTGAAATAATTGACTACTGACTATAGATTGACTATTGTCGATCATTATCATATGACCATACACACAAAATTTAAGGAAACCCGTCAATCATAATGTACCATTATAAATAATATTATATTGATTACGTATATATACTTATTTTTACTTACTAATAATAAGCGACTTACAAACACGCATTATTTTTACGAAGTATCATGGAATTTCAAAAATTTGAGTTTAAAGTACCATTACCTTTTAGAACGTTTGGAAAATTACAAATTCACTTTTCTTAACAAACAATTTTTTTTCTAGCATATTTTAATTGTATTTTGAACAATTAATTTTTTTTAAGGTACATAAGGTAGGATAACTATGTTTGAAATTAATCATCCATTCATTTCGGGGGGAGGGGGGGTGAACCCCCAAAACCTCTCCCTGCGTCCGCACTGGTAGCATGTATTTTGTATTAAAAGTATTACCTTAGGTGCTAATATAATAAGTAAAGTATTTTGGATTTGGATTTTAAGAGTAGAGTTATAAAATATACCGATGGGTGAATAATTTGTACCGAGTACATCTAGTATAATATTCTATAACTGTAACAAAAACTGTAACAATTTAATAGGCGTTTTATGTAGGCAATTTGAATGATATTTTTCGAGAAAAACCTAAAATTTAAACTTTACTGCTAGAAATCGTAGTACCATTTAAAAAATGTTAATATCAGATTGCATAGCTTTATATACCATAGTAATTTCAGATTTTTTTATAATCAAATTAAAGTAGAAATTTGCAAAATATTTTAGTTATGGTTTATTTAATCACTTGGTGATCTAATCTAACATATTAAAATGTATAATAAGTACTATCATAATCAAAATTAACAATCATATTTAAAGAAATAAAAATATATTAAATATTTATTGAATCTGAAAAAATATAAATATATATTAATATATATGAATTTACAATCATAATAGGTCAAAAAAGTTGTTTTAAGCTTAGCATTTAGCATAACATTTTCTGTTCATATAATTGTTATTTTTATTAAAACAGAAATCAATTTTTAATTAAACTACATATATGAAGTATTTTGATCCCAGAATATAGAAAAAATTAATTACATGCTCTATATAATTTTGAAATTATGGTTTTCATATTTAACCAAAAAAATAACTCATGTACTTTAATTAAAATTATTTGCATAATATTTTTTGATATATGAACAGTCATAGATATCTTTTGTTTGTATTGTTATATTAATTTTAGTTTTCATGTCTTATCCGTTGCCCTTCCAATATAAGCTGGTACATATACAGAGTAATTTAGTTATCGTGAACCAGTTAATATCTTGGGAAGTATTAAGAATTTTAAAATCATTTTTTTTTTTAATTTCCTAGGGTTTACTATTGTACACTATGTACACTATTTACACTATGTTACAATTTTAATAATTTTAACTTCCTCCCTTATTTGATAAAACACTATCAATTTTTGATTTTCAAATGACAATACCTATTTTCTATAACGAAAATTTAGATAAATAGATAAACAATACTATTAGAAAAAAAAAATGTCCTATCAACACTCTCACCAGAACACCTTGTGTTAGTGAACGACTAGCCTGCAACAGTGCGGCCGAATCAGCTATAATGTGTAAAAATAAAATATTACAATTTACCATCATGGTTACATAATACATATATTACTGATTACTAATTCCTGGTATACGGTCATATCACGTACCTATTATCTTAGTAGATAATTACAGAGGAATATACCTAATAAACACAAAACATATCTTATAAAATAGTATAAAACGTAATATTAAACTGAATCAAACCATACTTGAGGGCAGGGCCGGTTCAAGGTATAGGCGAGCTAGGCACCTGCCTAGAGCGGTACATTAGTAGGGGTGACATTTTCAAAATTGATTCATACATTTTTTTTTAGTTCTATCGGTGTTTTATAAGAAAAATATTTAAATTAATTTATTCATGAAAACCACTTACTTATGTAATAAAATAATATTGTCTAATGTTATTATATTACGGGCTACGCTGGGCGTTTTCAATTATTCTAAAAATATAAACAACCACCACACAATCACTTCCGCGATTTCCAATAGTTGCGATAGTGATGGGTTTTGAGTAATAATTATAGAAATAATTTTTATGTCTTTTACATATAATTTTATACATAAAATTAACAATTGAAATTTTTTTTATGTAGATATGTCACAAATGAAAAATTGGGGAGGGGATAATTAATTATTATAATAATGACACATTTAACAATAAATACAATTGTATTATAAAATAGACTTAATAGTGCGGGCTGTCGGTTATAACCAGGCACGGATCTAGAACTAAAATTGGGGGGGTCATTTTTTCGGAAGTACAAAAAGATAATACACAATTACAAAATAATAAAAGTAAATTATTAATTCAAATTTGAACGTTATGAATAAATGAAATTGTTAATTTTTAAAATTAAATAACAAAGTTTAATCTTTTTTGTTTTATTTTTCCAAATTTAGAAATTTAGAAATCAGAAATTTCAAACAATTATCAACATTTATGGATATATTCTTGTGAATATTGAGCAAAGCATTCCTTTCCCATGTTTAAACGAAGCTATGTCTTAAGACGCCTGGGAGTAGAGAATGATCGCATTTATAGTATTTTTTAACAAGTTATTAATACCTAAATTAGCGATTCGCGGTACCATAGCAAGTATATGCTACCTATAATATTATATAAACATATGGGTAACGGATTGGGAGTAACCGAATTGGTTCCCGTTTGTGTACAGGTTAGGCGGGCCAGTGCATAGAGAGCAAAAAACAAATTTTTAAAAGCTATATGTATGACGTATAGACATAATTATTATATCGATAAGATAGAGTATAGAAATATAATAGATATAATATAGATTACTAGAGATCAACAAATTACTAGCAAACAGGAAAGAAATAACAAATACTTGGAAAATTGTATGACTGAGTTTATTAATGAGAAGATTACGAGAATTGAATATTTAAAGAAAGTTAGCTTCAAATTTACAAATCAGTGGTTTTAAAATGTATTTATTATATTTTATTATTTGTATTTCGTACAACTAATTGATGACTAGTTAACTTCCAAATCAACGATTTAAAATTGTATATATTTTATCATTTTTTTTTTTAACATAAATTAACGCACATTAACCAAGCCTACTTTAAAGTTGACTGTCCTAAGCTGTAAAATTGAGAAGGAAAATGTGCCTAATTAAACGGAAACCAATTCGGCTATATCTAATAAAATACCTTTTTCAGACGAGAACCAATTTGGCACGTTGGGTTGGACCTTGGGAACCAATTCGGTACCTACCAGCCAACGGATTGACAGTTATTTTATCTAAGATAAGTTATCTTTCCGTCGAAGGTCGAACACTCCAAAATTTCCGCAGATTTACTATTATATTTATATTTATTTGCCAACAATATGATAGTTTATCTGTAAGTTTATAATCACTATTAATATTCTTAGAAGTTGGATGGTGAAATTATGATTTTATGAACAAGTGGTGATGTAGTTTAAATGTATATAAATGTAATATGTTGTATAAAATTTTTATTGCAAGAAAAAATCTAATTGAAAAAAAACTAAAAACGCAATTTATACATGTTTTAATTTTTAAATAAACACTTCGTTAATAACATTAACGTTAACAATAACGTTAACCCCATGACTCCTCCCCCCTGGATACACCACTGCTGAATAGTACCTACCTAATAGATGAAATTGGAATGATAAATTGTGAGCAAAGCGAGCGACTTTATGATGATTAAATTTATAATATAATCATTCAATCATGTAATCTATAATTATTTTGCTCTAACTTTTTGGGTGGTGGTATTAACAATTTTTTATACTTTGCCCCATCAAATAAAATACAAGTCGGCGCCACTGTATGTAGGACCTACATTGTAGGTATATTAATAACTAATTATTAATAATAATGTATTAATGTGTATATAAGTAAATAC